GATTCGGCGAATATTGCGAATGAATGGCGAATCTGTTGCGAATATTCGGCGATACCTTGGCAACAAGTCGGTGCACGCAGCGACATGTCGGCGGCGACTCGGCGACTGTTTGGCGATCATGTTCGTTCATTATAAATTCGGCGAACGGCCACGAAATTCTCATTTTTCATGAAATATTCGTGGCGGTCGTGACGAACCGTAAAAGTCGCGCGGTGGACAACGACTGGTCTGCGAAATGCCAAGACCGTGGAAGAATGATCCAGAATCGGTCCGCAGGATGACTTGCATATTCGTGCACATTCGTGTACCAAAATTCGGCAGTGTAACAAGGGCTTTACAGGACGATCGCCCAAAGATTTTTTTATCGGCGACAGGTCGGGGCTATTTACCGGCCATTTGTCCTCCCAGAATGCTGGGAAGTTCGATCTGTACCAGTCCTTCTCCTTCGTCGTTCTAGCTCGATGAGCCGGGGCGCCGACTTGTTGAAAGATGGCCCTGGACATGTTCAGCAGAAGTTTTGGGCTGGAAACGTGGCTTGTTGGGCTTCAGCTTTAGAGACATCTTCCGGTACCGATGGATTATCAATTTGAAGACTGGATGACTGTTGGCAATCAGCCTCCTTGCCAGTTTCCTTGTGGATAAGCCCGTCCTTAGCTCCGCACTTCGCGATGACGATCTGCGCTATACCCGGCTGGCGGAATCTTCCTGCCGCGACCTAGCTTGTTCCCAGGCGTCTATCCGACCCCCACCGGACACGATTTGGTAGCCGAGGTCTGTGACGTCAGCTGGGCGTGAAGTTTTCCCTTCACCATAGGCTTTGCACACAAACTGGCCAAAGTTCATGCCTGGATAGCCAAGCCTGAAGGGCAACAAATGATTACATTTTGCCCTTATTAGATCCAGCGCTTCATTTTATAACTGAAAGCGTCCGTTATTAGGCCTCTATGGAGGTACAAAGTACTCGAAATCGAAGTTCAAGAAGATGCTGTCCGAGCACAATCTGGTAACATCACGTGACTTCTTTTCAACAGATTATATATAATTTAAGGATATTTTTACAAGACTCCTGCCTAAAACATCATAAATAGTACACTTTTAATATTTATTACTTCTGTTTAAGTCATAACATTGTAAAACGCAAAGTTTATCATTTTAGTCACGTGACCAAGGGTATAGCAGGGGGTTGGGACAAACACTCAATGGATTTCAAGTTTTGTAATTAAGTTATATAAGTTTCATATTGTAATTGAAAGACTGTATTTTTTGCTTATAAAATACAAATTTTCGTTTGTAGAATATTTTCCTTAAAGGCGAAATTCTCCATATAAGAAATGTCCGTGACGTCACCAGGGCTTTACTCAAAACACCCGACCTACCTGTTTCTTTTAGGTATCTTGCGTCTATCCGCTTCTGTCGCGTGATAACCAGCCCCAAATCGTGCGACAACTCATGCCCAGTACCTCGGCGACCTGGCCGTGGGTCATGCCACCAGCAACCATGCCGACTGCCCCGCTGCGGGACGAATTGCTCTGCAGTTTCGCCATCCTGGACACCTGGTACGCGCGCGGTGGGTACTGCCCCGGAAATGACCTCCGTACACCCCCTGACCGGTCAGGGTCACAAAAATTCGAAGGTCACGTGACTAGGTAGAATGTAGCCAATATGGTCTGGGAGCCAGTACCGGTGAAATTATATTGATATTGTGCAGTAGAAGGCAAAACAAAGGTTGTGGGAGAGTGTGACATTAATTTTGGGACACCCTGTATTGGCCGCGCCTCTCCAGCAGCTGGGGTCAGTTACTCGTACCAGCGCAGTCAGAACAGGCAGAGGTCAGGTCAGATCTGATCCCTCTCAGGCTGGCACGGTCCGCCGACATCAAAACAACGGTGCGTCAGCTGATTATTGGTCCTCCGATTCAGGAGAAATTATTAACGCGGGAACGCCGGCGCTAAATAAAGGCGGTAGGATTCACGGCTTCGCATGATCGTGTGCAATGCTTTTTTATAGTATCAAGCGAGGGGTATTGCCGGAGTTTTGCAAATAAATATTTTGCTCTCAGTTTCACTATGCGATCGTGAACACTTTATTTTCATAGATACGATATGAAATAGGATAAACAGGCAATACCATAGGCCAACCCAAGGCTATGTAGGCCAACCTTAGACTTCGCATAGCCATGGACATTGGGAAGGAAGGTACTCGCCGATCGTACCACGATACCACGGGCAAGATATCAGACTTTTGGGAGTTTTGTGTCGCTGGAATGTATTTTAAGTGCTAAGAAGGAAAATAATTCAATTAAATGATGTCATGGACAATGGACATGCCATTCCAAGCATATATTTGCCTGGCTTCGACAACCAGATAGCCAGGCTTATTTCACGAGCTTCTAAAGAGGTAGTGGATTTAATATCGTTTCTATTACATTTGATTGATAATCCTACATATCAGTAAAGCTGCACCACGTTATCATTCTCGGCGAGCGATTACTGGCACATCGTACCAATGCCAATGCAGCGTCGAGCGTCCGATGGTTTACGATAGGAATTATAACAATAGTTTTAAACTAGCGCTTTTTAGAGCCATGGACCGAAATGGTAATTCAAAGAACCTCTTCCCCTTTCAACTCACCTGAAAAAGCTGCTTTCGTGTACCACCCAGCAACCGTTTCGTAGATATATCAAAATGATAACTGGAGGCGAAGATTATCCTCGGCCGTGCCCATTTTGGAACCAACCCTGAGAGGCATAACTAGGCGGCGGAACGGGTCGGGCGGCGGGCACCGTGCCCCCTTTACTTTTGGCATTTTAACATTAGCCTATGGGCGTTGCACGGAAAGAATGGGACCAAAAGTCGGCAGTGCCCCCCCCCCCTTAATTGAAGGTGTTCTGCCGCTACTGCTGAGAGGCCGTGGAAAATCGCTTTTAAAATCAATGCCTATGTTATGATCTACCACGATTCGTGGGGCTGACTAGTACCGACGTGGATCCCACAAACACGACGGTCACATTCATTAAGCATGATGTAGGTACGGCGTAAAGCACCACAACTCACTCCAAAAGCGCAACCCTCTGAGATATCTTATATTTAGTTTCAATGCTGGTACTGGTGCAGTTTCAATGCTGGTACGGGGACCAGCAGTTGCTACTGTACACGAATCCCTTGTCTAGCCGTCTGTCCTGTCCAGTAACAACCGATAACATTGATATCGACAACCGGTCCCTGTACATAATAAAAACATAAAAAACATTGGGACACAAACAACTGGAAACTGTTGGTACTTTCGCGCATAGGCGGCGGAACGGGGAGGGCACCGGGGCACCGTGCCCCCCTTTGATTTTGGCATTTTAACATGGGCTCTATGGGCGTTACATGGAAAGAATGGGATCAAAAGTCGGCAGTGCCTCTCCCCCCTTCCCCTTAATTGAAGGTGTTCCGCCGCTACTGCTTTCGCGTACGTAATACAACGACGCTGGCAATCAACAAGTTGCAACATACGCCAGAGAAAATAAGTTTCAGATAACAACGCCGGCCAAGAGGTGCGCCGTCCGAAGGCTCCAGTTGAGCTGGGCGCAGGTACTAAATAGGGAAATCCTACATTCATCTCGCCGCATTTAAGCGCACCAACCGAAAGACGACAGCGTGACCGCGCTGACAGGCAATCAACCTGGCCACATAAAACTAGCTAGTGCAAGGAAGATGTCTATATAAACCACTGGACCATGCAAAGTGTTCATGTAAATAAAATACGAGTAAAGATGACGCGTTTGAGGGCAGACTGGCCAAACCGTGACGTTACACGCGGATCTCAACACTGCACAACCCATTCATCAAAAAAGATCTCGTGGATCCCTATATACGTCATAACTGGCCCTAGTACGAGGGTATATAGCCATGGACGTAAATGGCCGGCTTAAGGCACAGGATCCCAATTGTCATCCCCATTACGTGGTCCCCAGAAGTCGCCAGACCGAGAGCCAATGGCAGTTAAGCACATCTTACACGTGCCGACAAAGGTGACACAATGAATCAAATAATGAGTCCGTTAATAAGCCTGCCTAATTCTGCATGTAGACTGCTATTTACCACCACGGCGGAAGGCTAAAACGCATCCATACAGCTCAACATAGGTGTCAATTTCCGCCGGGTTGGGGGTGCTCAAGCTCTCTAAATTTCCCTCCGGCTCGGCTGGCTTGGCTTTGGAGCCCCTACAGACGGTGCGGGTCAAGGTCACCGCTTAGGCGGCGGCGGATTTGCTGCGCCCGGGCAGTGGGCACTAGGGTGTTTCACTTTTCACTTTTTTTCTCAGATTGTCTCTCCTCGATCGGATTCCCATTATTTCATCTTTTTAATAAAATTTGGTGGCAATCATTCGATTTTAAACTCGATTCTAAACGTCGCGATAATTCGCCAAAGTTTTCAATTTTTGTGCCGTTCGGCGTTGAAGTCACCCATGTTAGAGCAATTGCAAGTAGGGCACTAACACCAAGAAAATACGGCCGTGCAAGAGGTGGTATTAACCGGTATTTTATGACACTGCGAAGGTTGAATATGGTACCTGCGCTTCCATAAAAGTGTCGTCGCATATTCTGGTGCTCAGATTAACATACACAGACATAACTCATTATTCAGGACACGACAACTTAACAGTAAGCAAAACATTGGTACGTCAGTGACGGCAAAACATGTATTTCGGTACCGGGCCTCAACACCGTTTCTCATCGAACCCAGTCACAGGGTAGCCAGGGCTGCCTTTGTCATGTGTGGCACTGCACGCCTGTGCCTCTCCACAGCCTGCAGAAGCCACTGGAATTGGTCCTGCCCCTTCACATGCTGAGCGAATGTTTTCAGAAGATTCATTTCATATGGCCTCCTTCTCCTCTTCTGTGACACGGCTGCTAAAGAGGCTGAATACTACAACTGATGGCTGCAGATACCACAAATGGCGCCGCATCACAGCGAGAGCAGCGTTCGCCACTGGTTGGTCCAACTGCCTATACCGCACCAGGCTACGGTACAGGTTGAGGTCGTTAGCGGGGGCGTCCTCTGCAACAGGGGCCCGCAGCCACGCGACGACATAGAAGAGGAGCAGGAACTGAGCCATCCGCTGCACCTTCTCCTGCATTGGCTCATCGTACTCCAGCTGGTCCGCGAACAAGAACATCTTGATGCTGTACAGTGTACAGCATCAAGTGTACAGTGTACAGCATCAAGTGTACAGTGTACAGCATCAAGTGTACAGCATCAAGATGTTCTTGTTCGCGGACCAGCTGGAGTACGATGAGCCAATGCAGGAGAAGGTGCAGCGGATGGCTCAGTTCCTGCTCCTCTTCTATGTCGTCGCGTGGCTGCGGGCCCCTGTTGCAGAGGACGCCCCCGCTAACGACCTCAACCTGTACCGTAGCCTGGTGCGGTATAGGCAGTTGGACCAACCAGTGGCGAACGCTGCTCTCGCTGTGATGCGGCGCCATTTGTGGTATCTGCAGCCATCAGTTGTAGTATTCAGCCTCTTTAGCAGCCGTGTCACAGAAGAGGAGAAGGAGGCCATATGTGTCAACCTGCTCGCAAACTCGTGCTCCGCGGCGCCTGATCAGTGATCAGACACCATCGGTCGCACTGGATGAGTCCACCAGCCTGTCAGAATTGGTGACCACGTCGTCGTGGCTGATGTTTGACCTGATGGGAGTCGACCACGAGTGGATGACGAAGCCTCCTGGGGAGTGGGAAGGTCACGAGGCGTAGGTACATCCTATGCAAGGAATTCGGTGAAAACAGTGAAAGTCGTGAACGACACCGCGGAGAGGGGCATCGCTCTTCTGAAAACATTCGCTCAGCATGTGAAGGGGCAGGACCAATTCCAGTGGCTTCTGCAGGCTGTGGAGAGGCACAGGCGTGCAGTGCCACACATGACAAAGGCAGCCCTGGCTACCCTGTGACTGGGTTCGATGAGAAACGGTGTTGAGGCCCGGTACCGAAATACATGTTTTGCCGTCACTGACGTACCAGTGTTTTGCTTACTGTTAAGTTGTCGTGTCCTGAATAATGAGTTATGTCTGTGTATGTTAATCTGAGCACCAGAGCGACGACACTTTTATGGAAGCGCAGGTACCGTATTCAACCTTCACAGTGTCATAAGATACCGGTTAATACCACCTCTTGCACGGCCGTATTTTCTTGGTGTTAGTGCCCTACTTGCAATTGCTCTAACATGGGTGACTTCAACGCCGAACGGCACAAAAATTGAGAACTTTGGCGAATTATCGCGACGTTTAGAATCGAGTTTAAAATCGAATGATTGCCACCAAATTTTATTAAAAAGATGAAATAATGGGAATCCGATCGAGGAGAGACAATCTGAGAAAAAAAGTGAAAAGTGAAACACCCTAGTGGGCACTGGGCACCCTCTATTCGGTGAAAATCGACACCCATGCAGCTCAACATGACAAAACGCTGCATACAAGCGCACGTCCTCGCATTTAATTGACGCATTTAACTGCGTCACTAACCTTGTACACTGTACAACACTGGTGAGATGACTGTCCGAAGGAAACTGCCGACTTTGGCTGGCAACATTCAGGGTTGGTGACTTATGTACTGAGTTCGGCTGGCTGACAGCGATGTGACTTCAGGACCGGTTGATGAACGGGCCATCCTAGCCCCATACTACAGGAGCCCAGCTGGTCTTGGCGAGCGGCGGCGACTGGACGAGGCTGGACCCCTACTACAGGAGCCCAGCTGGTGCTGACGAGCGGCGGTTACTGGACGAACGGGTCAGCCTGGACCCCTATTGCAGGAGTCAGGCAGGTCTCGGCGAGCGGCGACGACTGGACGAGGCTGGAGTCCTACTGCAGGAGTCGAGCTGGCCCTGTCGAGGAAATAGTTCACCTTTAACATGGGATTTTAAACTGAGATAGCAGTCTGATAGAGCAGATTTGCGTATGCCTTATATTTGAACCGTTTGAGATATTCACCTTTTATCAGTGAGTATTGGTGCTTAAATTCATGTTCTATAGTCCGTTTTTCTTATCTTTAGACTTCACTCCAAGATGTGCAGATAACTTAGCACGTGACGTCACACAATTTGATAATAAAAATCAAGCGTCACGCTCATTGCCACTGGCTCTAAAAGCGAACACACCATATGTCTGCTGTGTATCAAGGAAATCTGAGACTTTTATATATCTTTTGAAATTTATATCCATTCGTATACAATAATATGCAATGCTCTCAAAACTTCGGCAAGGAAAACCGATCGGTGCACAAGCGAGACAAGTGGTTTATAATGTTTACCAATATTTTATTCGAAAGAAAGATGAATACCTCAAGCAAGGTGATGAGAGTGCAGCGGCTAGCATTAACGTAGCGAAGGAGACCAGCTCTGCTACTGGAGTGTCGATTGCCTCTGTTAATGCATTCAAGAGTGGAATAGAGACACATGGATGCCAGTCTCCAGCCCGCCAGCGCCCTAACAGGGGGCCACGCGAGTACTTCGACGAGTTTGACCAGTGCGCGTTCAGAAGAATGGTGCATGCCATGTACCTGGAAGGGAAAAAGGTCACTTTGGACACCATTAGAGCGGCAGTTCAGGACAAGTTCGAGCAGACTATCTCGCGCTCAACCATACGAAAGCAGCTGTTCCAAATAGGATTCAAGTTCCGACAAGTGAACAACCGAAAGCTGCTGGTTGAAAAACCTCAGGTGGTGGCAGCCCGGAACGCGTTCCTGAGACGCATTCGGAAGATTAGAAGCTCCGACCCAGAGCGCACTATAGTGTACTTGGACGAGACCTGGTATAACCAGTTTGATATGCGAACGGTCGCGTGGTTGGACAGTGACGACGTGGCCGGCCATAAGCCAGTGACAGGGAAGGGCAAGCGCCTAATCATAGTCGATGCTGGCTCGGACAGCGGCTTCACCCCAGGAGCATTCATGTGTATGAGGACGGACGGCAAGTCTGCCGACTATCACACGTCTATGAACGCGAGCTGTTTCGAGGACTGGTTTCGACTCCAACTTCTGCCGAACCTGCCAGCGAATAGCGTGATCATTATGGATAACGCCTCGTATCATTCAAGATGTGCTAACAAGGCACCTACAGCTAGCTGGAGGAAGGAAGCGATCCAAGAATGGCTGCGGGTACATGATGTCAATCCTGATCCGGACTTGCGGAAGGTCGAGCTTCTTGAGCTGGTTCGCCCTCTGAAACAGACACGCGAGTATGTGTTGGACAAGGTGGCACAGGAGGCCGGTCATGAAGTACTGAGGTTGCCCCCATATCATTGCGACCTCAATCCGATTGAAATGGTTTGGGCAAACATGAAGACGCACGTCCGCCAGTTCAACAACACTGGGCATCTGAATGACGTGGAAAGGCTGCTGCTGGATAGCCGAGACGCCGCGCCACCGGACTTGTGGCGAAACTGCTGCCGCCACGTGCGAGAACTGGAAGAGGTGTACTGGCGAGCAGATGGTATGATGGAGGACATCGAGCCAGTGATCGTGTCACTTCAGGATTCGAGCAGTGACGACAGTGACAGTGAAAGTGATTGAGGGCGCATGGGACCTACGATGGCTTCGGTGAACCAAACATACCCAATATACGAGTACGACTCCTGTGTTTCCTGTCTTTTGTAATTTGTATTACGAGTTACTGGTGGTAGATTTGTAGACACTAGCGGGTAATACGAGCAAAACATGTCATCACATTGAAATAGTATGTATATTTGTTAATTTCGATCAATGCTGCATTCATCGCTAAACACACGCTCATATAGCCAACTCGTGTTGGTAGCCTGCGCCGCTGAACACGCATGTCCTGCGGGTTGCCTACCTCCACAGGCATAATTCATCTCCGCCTCTCGTCACGCAGTCTAACCCGTCCACATGATACTTCGTGAGGATTACAACGTCACAGTCAATACTATCGAAAACGCGTTCACTCGAATGTCTGCGATAGCGAACCACAAACCAAGTGCTTCACGACAGTCGCCAGAACTTGTTACGAGCCACACGCCGAGCTCCTTCAAGAATTTCCTTGCATTGGGTCCGCACTCGCAGTCGCACGCACCTGCGGTTTCAAAAAACTTCGGCTGGAACCAAGCCCTATAGGTCTTGAACTAAAGTCACTGATGATGACTTGTGTCCATTTGCAGAATAGTTCATTTCCAAGTGATATTCGCTTTTATAGGTACCCTTTAATTCATCGGATCGATAGTTCGGTTAGCATACCAAACTTTATCCAACTTAATTTTTGTAGCAGGTAGGTATAAGTACCTACCTATTTATGTAATACACATTTGTGAGACTACAAATCTGCACTTGCCGCACCCAAGAGCGCCACTCTCCAGGCTTCAAGGCAATATTTTCCAGATTTTCTGTTTCCGAAGGGCTTGATTTTTTCTAAGCCATGCTTTGTCTCGTGCATATCTTGCGAAACATCTTGGAGTGAAGTCTAAAGATAAGAAAAACGGACTATAGTGCTCATTTACAGCTAGCAGAAACCTCTTCAACACACAGTGGCCAATCAGCGATGAGAGCACTTACAGGAGCAGAATCCCTTGCAGCTGATAGGTTGTTCAGCTGTTAGTGTTCATAACTTAAATCATTAAAATAATGAAATCCCTTTAGAAGAAGTGTGTAATTCCAAGTCAGAATGCATTTAAATTTTATTCATCACATTTTTAACAAATCTTTTTAAATTTTATTCATCAAATTATTCACAGAAGGTGAACAATTTCTTTTAATACTTACCTTGCTTCAACGATGACATGTAGTTCTTGCAGGCTGCAGCAGAGAATGCACAGCATTTGGCTGAAACTTCAAATATTTACTTGTTGCTATCAATTATTCAGTTTTGAAATGCATACTGGTACAGCGAATCTTGGGTTCTCCTGTAAGAATGCTGAGCTGACGTCACCGCAGAAGTTCATCCAGAGCTTGCGCCTGAAAAAGGGCCAGGTTTAATATATGAGAGAAATGAAGACTTTTGAATCATTTTATTATTATACCATAATCACATTTTGCCTAATTTGTAAGAAATAGGTTTAGGTTAGCAGAAATAGGTAATAAGGTTTTGACTAGACCCCCTGGGTCACAACAGGGGATGACACCCATGATTGGTGGGACCACCAGGCACCAGCACTGGCATAGTCCGTTCTGACCACCGCACACCTATCAGCCAGAGAGCACACTAAATTGCATGTCAAAGCTCCATTAATGCTTTTTTCAATTTTTGCCATCCATTTTGTTGGGTCCATCATGTCCATCACCAAGCCACATTTAAAGGAAGACTGCCACCTTCAAAAAGTTTTCTCAGATCGGCCTATGATTTATTCCCTGGACAAAACAAAATTTTAGAATTCACCTGACAAAGTATCATCACGTGAATCGCGAAAAAAATTGTCGATTATCATACAATTATCAATCGGTTAATGTCTAGCGACAATGTTTACACATCACTAGACTTCAAGGTCATAAGATTATTACATTTTATTTGAAAAAGTAAGGTATTTTATGATTTACTAATATATGATTTCATAAGAAATTGGCCATGTTTAATTTATTTTGCATTTAAGTTCGTAAAACATTTAAAAATCATGGCTCATTTGGAATGGGTCTGGCGCCCATGTTAAACCCCATTTCCCACACTTTTTTGGAAAAAATGAACTACTGAATATATAAGTTTAACTTTTATTTTGACACTCCAAAATTCTTCTCTGATCTCGAAACAATCAAAGTTTTGACATATATTTACCAAAAGATAAGAAAATTCATGTTTCAAAGTTATCGATAAACAGGTAGAGATGTCGGTTTTCTTGGACTAAAAAAATGGCATCAAACTGAACTTTGGTCTCCGATTTCTCGCAAACGGGCTCGAATTTCGGAAAACCGACTTCAGTCTGGGACATAGGTGGCTCAGCTCTAGTGAAAACCGTTTTGTGGAAAAAAGGTGGCAGTCTACCTTTAAAATGCACTACACTACATCCCCACCACCTGACCACACCAGGCCAAAGCCGCACCGCGCTACACAAAATCCACACTGCACCAAGCTAAATCCACGCTACACCAAACCCTCACCAGCCGGACAAGCCAGCACAGATGAGATCTTGTCGAAATTGCCATGCTTTGCAGAGTGCACACTGGCCTACCTGAACCTCACCTTACCCAACATATGAGCCTGACTGTCCTAAGCACTGGGAGCTCATTGAGACCAGGCCCCACAGGCCTAGTGGCCTCCTAAAATCTGATTTCCATATGGTAAGGTGAGGTATTTAAAAATGGTGATCAGATATCGAATGCGAGACAAGACAGCAATGGGCAGTGGGCGGTTCATGCAACAATAATCATGTTTCCTTACCACAAGTATCAAAGCAAAAGCAAAAATGGCTACCTATCGAATTCAAATTTCACTGGAACCTCACCTGCATGGATCTTAAAGGTATTATCAGGGTTTTTTCCAAAATTTCGGACTTACTCAGTGAAACGTGTAGAAGAAGGTGACTGAAGCCCCAATCCAAAGTCATTCGTCTCAAAATTGCCTAATTTTCCAATGGTGGGCCTCCAAAGTTTTCGCGGCTGCCAGCCGCGTAAACTTGCGAGTACTTGGTGGTCCATCTCTAAACGCCCATAGGGTTTACACTAGCGGAGACTTTTCTAAATATTTCTAGGGAAAATATAATGGATCTAGGGAAAATATAATGGATCTAGGGAAAATATAATGGATTACATGCTCCATTATATTTTCCCAAGACAAAATAGGGAAATATAGCATAGGTCCGTAACACAACGAACACAACCTTCTTCTCATTCTTCTCAGCTTCTCATTCTAGATATCCTGTGGGTTATCAAAATAATTCAAATTAAAAAATTGTGTTGTGTGCGTTCAAACTAAGCTCATCCCGAGTGTAATTCAAGAATGTCTTAGTTCAAGTAATTAAACTTGAAAGTGTATAGCAAAGCTCAAGAAAAGCTCAGAAAGCTCAAGCAATGAAGAAGCTTGGATGGAACTAGTGTTGAATCAAAGTTACCTATCATTTTTAATGCTAAGTGCTGAACATTACCAATAATTCGAGACATCCGTTGTAAGATGTATGACGCAGATCAACTTTGATCAAGTGAAGAAAATAGATTTCAGATGAAATAATGTCAATGTTCAAGGCTGAGCGACTGGCAGATTTCGGAGTGAGCACGAGTGGCCTTGAGACATTCTGTTTCTGTAGGTACTCAAAATAAATAAATTATCATGTTGTGTGCTTTGAGGTTAAGTATTATCAGTGGTGCTTCATGGTTGTGCTTTGTTGTTGGTGTATAGGCATGTTTTGAGCACATTGCAGCATGATATTGGTGGTGTGTAAAGCAACTGATCTCCGCAGACTTTGCACTTACTTGCAAAGCCTGCGGACTGACTGCAGACTTTGGCTGACAATGAGCAATGCATTGCTGACTGATATCATTTATTCTGTGTTTGTAGCACAAAGTACAGAAGTGGCACATACATTGTTACTTTGAAAACCTGATGTGAATTTTGATGTAGAAAATTGGTGGCTGACGTTGAGTCCTGACGTATTGTGAGTAGTGTACATCTGGTGCATTGAGCGCAGACTTGAGACCAGTGACGTTTGTATCAGTAGACTGTGTTTGAGTCTACTTATATGGGTAGTCATAAAGCAGGCGTCACACTTCTTTTTGCAACCAAGGAGATGCGCTATACCCAGTGTCTCAGCACGTGACGTTTATTGAATCCGTGTCAACCAAGGCTATGTAAAACCATGTCAACAAATGCCGCAACTATTCTGCTGCAATATTCCGACACATCTCCCCCTTTTTACTGAGACACATCTTTCTACGCAAACGACACCGGCTCTGAACTAAACATCGGCACAACACAGCGGCCCTCTACAGATCCAAACGCGTGGGGGCCACCGAGGCGCTCTCCTGGCAGGCGGGTGAGGACGACATCACCGGGCCGAAGAGCAGGCAGCGGCCTGACTCCATGCCTCCTGTTGAAGTCAGCAGTGCTCTTGCGCTTGGCTTCGTCCGCCCGGCGAGCGATGTGAGCCATGTCTGGCCAGCGCGGCGCGAGATGGGCCTTAGTCGTCGGTAGTCGCGATCGAAGCTGGCGGCCCATGATCAGCTGGGACGGCGTGCATCCTGTGACGTCGAGCGGCGTTGACCGGTACGTCAGAAGCGCGAGATACGGGTCTGGCTGAGCCATGATTCTCTTCGCCGTCTGGACGCCTCGCTCAGCCGCGCCGTTTCCCTGGGGGCAGTACGGGTCAGACAGAGTGTGGAGGAACCCGTAGTGCCGCGCGAAGTCAGCAAACTCGGCACTAGTGAATTGAGGTCCACCGTCTGACCGTACTTCCTCGGGGATGCCCCATCTGGCGAACAGCGACTTCATGTGGTTGATCACCTGCGCGCTGTTGGTACTCCTGAGGTGTTCAATCTCTATCCACCGGCTGAAATAATCCACGACGATCAGATACATCTGTGAGCCATATTGACAGAGATCCGCACCGATCTTCATCCACGGACGCTCTGGCAGTCCCCTGGAGACCATGGGTTCTGCGTGCTGAGCTCGACGGTTCGTTTGACAGAATCTACATGATTCTATCCAACTCTTGAGGTCAGGACTCAAGCGAGGCCACCACACCGAGGCGTGCGCTCGCTCGCGGGACTTTGAGAGACTCGTGTGCCCGTCATCATGGATCCGCTGCAGCATTTGAGCTCTCAACGACTCTGGGATCACTATTCTGCCATCGAACATCAGAAGAGATACGCCCAGGACACTGAGATGGCCTCTCACCTCGTAATACGGCGAGAGATCCTGCAGTTCCGCGAGGTTTTCTGGCCACCCATGTAGAGTGTAGTAGATCACTTGCTTGATCTCGGGGTCTTCCTGCTGCTTCGTCTGGATCAGCTGAAGCATATCTCCAGACGCTGGCAGGTGGGACGCCACGTAGTTGACGTGAGCGTCGACGTCACGCTGCAGCTCGTCCGCCACTCCTCCAGGCGGGCCTTGCAGCGGATGGCGCGACAGGAGGTCTGCCACTACCAGCTTCCGACCTGGAACATAGACAGCGGTAGGGGCATACCTGGCGAACCTCATCAGTAGTCTCTGGCACCGCAGCGGTGTGTCCGACAGGTCCTTCTTGTTGATCAGTGGCACCAGTGGACGATGGTCAGTCTGCAGCTCAAACTCGATGCCACACACGAACGTGTGGAACCTCTCGCACGCCCAGACAGCTGCGAGGCACTCCTTTTCTATTTGTGCCCAGCGTTGCTCCACTTTCGTCAGCATGCGAGAGCAGTAGGCGACTGGGCGCCATTGCTCTCCGTGCTTCTGTAGCAGGACACCTCCGATCCCATACGAGCTGGCGTCTGCAGACACCACAGTCGGCTTCGTGACATCGAAGAATGCCAACGTCGGTGCTTCTGCCAGCATCTTCTTGGCTTTCTTGAAAGCGTCTTCTTGTGCCGCATCCCATGTCCACGCGGCATCAGACTTCAGCAGTGCATTCAGCGGCTGCAGGACAGCTTGGGCGTTCGGCATGAATCTCGTCAGGTACGTTATCATGCCCAGGACCTTCCTCAGTTCTGCGACGTCCGTCGGCGGGTCCAACTTCAGCACAGCTTCAACCTTCGCCGGACTGACCTTGATACCCTGGCCAGTGATCACGTGTCCGAGGAAGGTGACTTCTTGTTTCTGGAAGCTGCATTTCTCCTTGTTGAGCTTCAGTCCGCTCGCTTTGATCCGTTCGAGCACCGCTTTGAGTCTTTGGTCGTGTTCCTTCTCGTCCCTTCCGAAGACGAGAACGTCGTCCATCGAGCATATGACGCCCTCCAGCCCTGTCAGAAGTTCGGTCATCTTGCGCTGGTAGATTTCGGGGGCGAGCGTGATTCCCATCGGCAGCCTGTGGTACTTGTATCTGCCGAAAGGCGTGATGAAGGCCGTGCATGCTTGCGCACTCTCATCCAGTGGAATCTGGTAGAATCCCGATGCTGCGTCGAGCTTCGAGAAGATTCTGGCTCCAGCCAGCTTCCCTGTGAGCTCCTCAAACGTGGGTAGCGAGAACTTTTCTCTCTTGACGCTCTGGTTCAGTCGCTTGTAATCGACGCAGATCCTGACCTTCTTTTCGCCTGTACCCTCTTCTCTTTGCGGTTTTATCACTGGCACCATGGGTGCACACCAGTCCGTGGGTTCAGTTACTTTAGAGATCACTCCCTTTTCCTCCATTTCCGTCAGAGACTTTTTCACAGCTTCCATCAGTGGGATGGGCACCCGTCTGGCAGCGCTCACTGCATATGGCACTGCGTCTTCCTTCATCTTGAATGACACTGAGTCAGTGTTCCATGTCCCGAAGCCAAACAGGCTTTCATCTTCCACTGCTCCAACAAACTGAATCAGACGGAGCGTCTGGGCTGCGGAACGGCTCAGCAGATTTCCACAGCCTCGAGGGGTGTCTGGAAGCACATACACATCCATCAGGACAGTTGTGTTCTGTGATTTGCTGCGTGCTTCAGCTTGGAAGACACCCATCACTTCCAGTCTTCCAGCTGGCGTCATCAGCTTCTTCTCCGGGGCCTTCAGACTGGGCTTGAAGACCATCTTGTCGAACGTTTCTCTGCTGATCAGACTCACATCGGCACCTGAGTCAACCTTGAATGGAATGACAGCTCCACACATCTCGAGGTAAGTCATCCAAGCCTCACCTGGCTTTTCCATGACCTCTCCCAGGAATATGCCAGCGTTCTCTTCTCCAGCATCTTCATCTTCTTCAATCACTTCTCTGATCCTGCGTCCTCTGCTGCTCTGGCCTCTTCCACGCTGTGGGTTCCGTGACCCTCTCGTCTCCTGCTGCTGTGGCTGTGGGGTCAGACAGGCTCGTGCAAAGTGATTGAGCATGCCACACTTGTTACAGCGCTTCCCATACGCTGGACAGCGTCCCTTGTCATGGCTGAATTTGCAAAACTTGCACTGGGGGTACTTTTGGCCATCATATTTCTGCCCTGGGGCTTGTGACCCCCTCACAGCATTGACTGCTGCTTCAGCTGCCCGTCCTTGCCTCACATCAGAGTAGTTTCTAGCATAGTCCAGGACAGACGCAAGGGTGACATCACTTTTGGTGAGGTGAAGGAGTTCGAGCTTTTCCGACAGGTCAGAGCTCGCTACACCGAGAATGAACTGATCACGAACGCGCTCCTCTTTGGACCCAGCAAACTCACAATCGGCTGCCAGGACATGCAAAGCTCGTGAGAACTCCTCCACGGACTCACCTGTTGCTTGAACTCGTTTTGAGAATTGTTTTCGCAGCCTCAGAACGTTTTTACGTGGCTGGAAATAGTCATCAAATTTTCCAATCACAGTATCAAAATCCTGTTCGCTTTCTGCACTCAGGTTGAAAGTCGCCATAATATCTTCAGCTTCCGGGCCCATACAGTACTTCAGGGAGGCCACCTGAATAGCTCCTGTTTCATTTTCCAGTTTTGTGAGGAGTCTGAATGTCATATACATTTTTCTCCATCTGAACCAGCCTTTAGGGTCAAAGTCAAATCTCTCCGGCGGCGCGTACTGGGCCATGTTCCAACGCTTTTATCACAAGCGGTCAATATTCCAAGTCACGGCTGATCAAAATTCAAATTCAAAATCCACTAGAAATCCAAATCCACGTTCAAATCCAGGTCCCACGTGGTTTCGGCACCATGTCTCAGCACGTGACGTTTATTGAATCCGTGTCAACCAAGGCTATGTAAAACCATGTCAACAAATGCCGCAACTATTCTGCTGCAATATTCCGACACACCCAGAGATGCTTTCTCACCAAACCTTACCAAACCAAACCTAACCTACAGCGCCTCTCTTCGTTCGTTCATGGTTGCAAAAAAACAAGTGTGACGCCTGCTACACTACTACCCTTATATGGCCTTGGTTTGAGTGTGGTGACTGAGTAAGCTGGTGTGTATAGCCATGTAATAAGTGTTTTGAAATATATTTTTGGGACAGTATTGAAATGGTGTGTTTTGGCCATCTGGCATGGATGATGGAAAGTCACTAACTCAACTTCAGGAACGCTTCTTCATTATGCTCATCTAAAGCACAATGATCTATTTTCTCTTCGCAAGGATTGATTCCTAATTCACTGTCAATTATAACCTGGGCCAGAAGGTTTCGCTGAGCCACAGGGTTCATACAGATTCATCCACAGTGCTCAGCAGTGTATGTTTTCAGATTTCAACAGACTGTATTTTTTTCTGTATGTACATATGCATCATGCAAGGGTACAACAGATGCGGTATTTGGTAAGCAGTTGGCAGCAAGGTGGTGTTTGTACTTATTGGCAGAACTAGTTGAGCAGGACTAAAACTATCCTAGTTTCTCTCCAGTTTACTCAGATCCGTGTCAACACATTGAACATATTGAAAGCGTTCATCCATGAAATGTCTGCATGTATACTCATTTCCGAGAAGGCACGCTCGTCGCTCATCCATTGCCGAGCAGGCACGTGCGTGCCCATCGCCGGCGCGCATTAGCGCGCGTCCATGGCTGGGGCGCACGCGCGCGGCCATGGCCGGCATGCACGCGCGCGCGCCCATCGTCGGCACGCAAGCGCGCGCCGCGTCCTTACCCGGCGAGCACGCCGCGTCCGTACCCGGCGCGCACCCGCGCGCGTCCACAGCCGGGGCGCACCCAAGCGAGTTCGTACCCGGCACGTACCGGCGCGCACCCGCGCGCGTCCGTACCCGGCCCGCACCCGCGCGCGTCCACTGCCGGCACTGACAGACCCTGACAGACGGGCGTGCTGCCGTCGGCGGTCCTGACAGATGAGCGGCGGGCCCGGCTCCCGCAGCTCCGGCAGCGGGCGGCAGCCATGGTCGGCATACACGCGCGCGCGCCCATCGTCGGCACGCAAGCGCGCGCGCGTCCATAGCCGGCGCGCACCCGTACCTGGCGCGCACCCGCGCGCGTCCGTACCCGGCCCGCACCCGCGCGCGTCCACTGCCGGCACTGACAGACCCTGACAGACGGGCGTGCTGCCGTCGGCGGTCCTGACAGATGAGCGGCGGGCCTGTCGTACTGCGCTGATGGGTAGCGCGTGGCTGGACGGACGGTCTGTGACAATCTATTGATCTGTGGCTGATCTATTAGAGTGTCCGTCCGAGAGCCGTACGACGGCTGACAGAGCCTGGGGGTCGCGAACTGGTGTGGTAACCGTTACGCCCACCTGGGACGCCCGAGTCGGTACGGCACTTGCGGTGTCGTAACCGGATCGGCGGGAACCAGCAGAACGCTGTTGGACCGGCGGTGAAAGTCGGAACCGAGCACTCGCCCACCAGTGGGGCGTCTGGTCGAGCAGGTCTACCCGCTAAGGCAGCCTGAGCACGAACCAGTGGCAGGGTCCGATCAATGACCGTGGTCCGACCAGGGTGTCAGCGCAATGGCCAGTCAGAGGCGTCTTTAAGGGCGCAGAAGCCCACCTCGGTCGACTGTGGCCGGTGCAACCTAGTCAGGTCGTTTGTGTGAATCTCCGTGTTCTTCCCTCGCCTCAGAGTAGCCGCTCTTCTCCAAATGCCCGAGCCGTTTTCTATGTGTATTTGTCTTGTAGCGAACAGCAGTCGAGAAATGAATTGACAATGTCGCCGAAAACCGCGGTCACATGCTGGCCGTCCCTAGTACTACCAATATGCCCGCAGGCGCGGCGAGAGACAAGCTTAACGTATGAGTCACCGTCCGGCTGCCGGGAGAGCCCCTACCGACCTTTGTTCACAGTCATGACGTCACGACAATGGGCTCCTAAACGTACGGGCAGCGGCCACCTCAGGGGTGCCGCCGTGACCTTTGCACGACACGTTCTATAGCGTATGGCACAGCGGTTACTAGGAAGGTTGAGGCCAGCGGCAGGCCGGTTTACAAAATAACAAACAAACTTGACGCGCAATTGACAACAGGTAACAGATTGATTAATAAAGCGGTGACAATATAAATGAAAATGACAACATGAAATGACAAATCGCATAGATGATAAATCGCATAGATGATAAATCGCATAGATGATCCCTACAGTACCCCCTCGCCAGACATGTCGCGGACAAAAGTGACATGGCGATATCTTACCGGAGGTCGTATGACGCGGCCGGAGCGGGTCGTTCGTAGTATCGGCCGAGGCTGCAATGGTGCAGCGTCAGCCCGAGCGACGGCTGCAGGGCGATTTGGTGCGTCACCGTAGATGAGAAGCTCCGGGCCGCTGGGCTCATTGTTGAGCGGTGGCGCGGCCGGCGGGCCGCTGGACGCAGTACCGTGCGGCTGCACAGTCGGCAGGTCAGACTGTCGATGACCGGATTCGTCTGGCGTCTCCAGGAAGGCGGCCTTACACCGGTCGATGCTGATGACCTCCTTTTTCTGTCGACGGTCGATGGTGATGGTTTTGGTGGTCCTTTCGGTAACCGGGAACGGTCCGTCGTATGGAGCGTCCAGCGGGTAGCGGTGACAGTCCCTGCGCACGAAGACGTGTGTCGCCGTCTGGAGTGCCGTCGGGACGTACGTGGCGCGCTGGACCGGACGTGGGAGTGTCGGCCGCACCTGAGACATGGCGCGCTTCAGGTCTTGTACGAAACCGGCCGGCGATGCTGCGGAGGCTTGGCGGCTGGTGAAGAACTCACCAGGAAGCCGCAGTGTGGTGTTGCCGGTATTGCTGCTGTTGCCTCTGCTGTTGCTGTTGCTGCTGCTGCTGCTGCTGCTGCTGCTGCTGCTGCTGTTGTTGCTGCTGCTGGACGGTCGAATGGTGCCTTGCTGGAGCATCTTGTTGAACTCGGCACGTGCGATTTGAAGGCGCTCCAGCGGGAGGCGTCGTGGCCGCTGGTACACCGGTGGACCCTTGGTGACGATGTGGTGCGTCACGTTGTGCTTCACCGGTGTTGGTCCAGGTTTTGGTGAGGTCACATCCGGGTACCGGGCGAGGACAGCTGCGAAGCGAGCAGCAGCCTGCTCCCGGACGAGACGCACTCCGATGGAGCACAGCCGTGACCGCTCGGCGCTGGCGCAGACGGTGCCGTCCCGCAGGAGACGCTGGTTGGTAACGTCCACGACGAGGTGATGTGCGGCCAGGAAGTCGGTGCCCAAGATGGGTGTGGTGACGTCAGTGACGAAGAATCGATGTTTCAGGCGGTGCTGCTGACTCAAGGTGACGTCCAGCAGGCAGGTGCCGTGCACCGCGATCGGTGAGCCGTTTGCCGCGACGAGCTGCTGGCCGACAGGAGCAGGGGTCAGCGTAGACCCGTTGGGCAGGCAGCGGCGAGGCAGCACGCTGACCTGCGCCCCGGTGTCGACTAGAAATTGCCGGTCCGTCTCCGTGTCCCTCACGAAGAGGAGTGGCGCGGCAGGAGGGGCGCCCGTGCTTTGCGCCATCAGCACGGGGCGCCTCAGTTTTCCGAGGCGATCCAGGAGCACGGCAACTTGCATCGGCGCGCTTGGGCGCCGAATCGCTGGTGGTACCAACACAGCGTGTCGTCGTGCGGCGGCGTTGAGGGACGAGCCGGTGACGGGCGGCGTGACTGGCGAGACGCCTGGCGCGGCCGGGAACGGCTGCGGTCGCGTCGCACGGCGTCCTCAAGTCGTCGGTTGCTGGCCTCCAGGCGCTCCATCTTAGCGACCAGGGAGGCGATGACGGTGTCCAGCGTAGGGGTTGCAGCTGGCGCTGGGGCTGTCACTGAAGCAGCGATGGGCGGTGCCGGCTGTGTGTACGGCTGTGCCGCGATCGCTGATAGCCGTGGGTCGGGTCCGCTAGCTTCCAGGTACCGGTCGGCCGCTTCTGCCAGTGCGTCAAGCGTGCTGTCGGCTGGCAGGAGGGCGAGGGCAGCACGGACGGGCTGCGGTAGCCGTTGTTGAAATAGGGTACGGAAGAGCTCCGTATCAACCGGGGCGTCCCCGGCTGCGGCTAGCTCGTTGCGCATTGAGCGCAACAGCGCCGTCGGCTTCTGATCGCCGAGCTGCTGGCGGCCGAGCAGGGCTTGTAGTCGGTCGGCGCGTGACTGTGCCAGGCGGGCTTGGAGCGCCGCACACAGCACGTCAAAAGACCGGGATGACCGAATGACGTCCTTGACCTGGACGGCGATGTTGGCGGGGAGGTTTGCGACGAGAAGCTTAAACCTCAGCTCGTCGGAGTCGACCCCGCTGACGTCGAAAGCGCACTGCACCTGCAGTAGCCACAGGTCGGGCTCTTCCGGAGAGTATGGTGGTAGCCGGAAGCTAGCCATGGGCCGATGAGTTGACTCGGAGGCTGAAGCTGGAACGCTGGCCGAGTCTTGAGCTGCGGCGCCGGACTGTGCGCTGTCCGCGGGCATGACGAGAGGCTAAGGTTGAACAA